CGGATTCCCGGGCCTGCTTAGCCAGACCCAGCAAGTCCGGACCGGTGACCAAAGAGCAGCTCGCGCGGATCTGCTAGATCCAGCAAGGGGAGTTCGCGAAAGTGGCTCGATTTAGGGCTGCAGCCAAAAGAGCCGAAGAGGCAACGATGGCCTCAACGAAGGATGTCTCGATGGCCGAGGGATCGGGTTTCGGAATCCTGGAATCCGAAGAAGAAGTTTGAGGGTACAGCAACCCTCGGTGAAGTCTACAAAAAGCTTCAAAGTATATGGCAGGATACCAGCTGAATTCAGGGTATCTGCGAACTAGTCTTTCGCTCTCAGCGGAGATAAGAAAAAGTCACGTGGAAGATGTGGCAGGAAAGGGAACGGGCGAGAAGCGCGGGATCCGGACCAAACAGTATTTCTTCCAAATTTGATTTCAGTTTTTGATTTATGTTTTTGATTTTAGTTTTGCTGTTAACTTCTACAATTTCAGTAGAAGTTCATGCGGTTGGAATGAGTTGGGCCTGTACGCAGTGATCCTTGCCGACTCCACCGGTCCTTGACCCAATGTGGAAAAGATAGCGTTAGCTTAGGACCAAAAGTGAAAAAAAAAAAAAAGAACGTTGTGCGGGTTTCTACATCTACGACGAGTCTGAAATAGCTACAAAGCTCCGGCCTCGTGGCAAAATTCAGAAGTGTCATCGTTGCCTCGGCTTCCATGCCACTTGTGCTTGCTCTGGCCTGCTGGGATTGCGGATCAATAATGCACTCTGAAGCATAGTGCAAGGCCCACACCAGATATCGAAACTGAGGCGGACGATATTGCTCTAATTCTGGAGACTGCCTAGCAAGAATTGATGGGATCACTACGGTGGAGAAAGAGCAGCTCGATGCTAGAGGCTGTAGCCATGTTAGTTTGGAACCTGAGTTTATCCAGTCCCTTTCAAAGCGCTTAAAACTCTGTGGTTAAGCTTTGTTATTGCTTATGTAAAGGCTCGGCCTACGTGACGCGTACTTGCTTACATTCACAAAAGGCCTTCCGCGACGTCTCTCTCTCTAGAAAGTATCTAAACTCTATTTTGGCCATACTTCAGCCAAAAGTTTATGTGCCGTTTTTCACGCTCGGGGCTATTCGGAAATGGGAAGATTGGAGAAGCAGCCTATGCAAAAGCTGCAAACAAAAGGGTAGACGAGACTCTGATCGCCCCAAACAAAGACATCTCCATGACGAAGGAATCTGGCGGTGTTTGAGAGTCCTAGCAAGAAGTTTGAGGACACTGAGATCTGGATAACGCCTTTCAGGCGCTACTAACCAATAGCAGGATATCAACTGTAAAATATTGCCTGATATCTATCTCTTGCTCTCAGCAGAGATTGGAAAAGTTGTCATTCGGAAGTTGACGGGCGAGGGAATGTGTGATGAGCGTATTGCTTGAGTCCGAAATGGAGGAATCTTCTGTTTTTTGGGGTTGTTGGTCTTGGAATATTATCGTGCATGTGATGGTAGAAGAATTGTATGAATACTTATTAATGTTAAACTATAAGAATGTTGGTCAAACATAATCCCCCCCGACCTTAACATAGTGGAGTAATTGTTGGAAGCCCCGACTCGGTATATGTGAAGATTTAGATTTCTAGGTATGATCATCAAGATCAATTGGGTTGATTCGATTACACATGGTTAAGCTATCAACCTAACTATGACCTGCATCCAAAGTGATGTGAACCCGACAAGAAAGGACATATAACCCTGCGGGCTAAGTGCGCCAAGATCTCGCGTGGGACATACTGAGCTCGAAACGTTTTACCTGACGCTATCTGTGAAACTATTCTGTAACTGTTTGTATTCATATAATCATGTACGAGTCGTATTCCTGTAACTATCTATATTCATGTTATCTACGACTCGTAACCTTGAACTAGTATAGTCGCTCCTGACAGTTGCTGTTTGCGATATTGGAACTAATCATGTTCTTACTTCATACTTAGGACTATTTGACACATGAAGCTTGTAAAATAGTATGGCGAGATTACATGGTCTGTACGTGGGTGATCGGATGAAGAACGGAAGGGCTTGTATTTAAAGAGAGATGGAATACTTCATAAAAATCAATCATATTTCTTCACTCTGAGATGAACTTCTTAGTCCCAATTTATCAACATAAGCTTAGCTGGGCGACATGAGGTTCAGTGGTAGCTGAAATGCTGTGGCTAGGAAATGCCACCTTGCAATGAGTGGCTGGTTGCTGCTAAATCACTAAAGCCTTGAGGATCTGTATTAAACGATAGACTTATTTATATATGTTAAACTAAGTAAACGGAAAATTATACATTATTAATTTACATTGAGAAGAGAGTTTGATAACCTCTACAGCTATCAAAAAATATTGTCCGAAACTGTACACTTGTTCTTTGAGATATTTCCTCCTAGAAATCCTTAATAATTTCTAACAGTTATGATATTATTATTATCGGGGCCGGGTACTATCCCAGCACCCAGAAGGCATGGCACAGGTAGTCTAGATCTATAGGAGTGAGTGATGTTTATTGTACTACTTGAGTCTTTGACTATCTAGCACATTGGGCTCCTTTCTGACCCAGGCCACACCTTGTACAGTGCTCCTTTACTATCTGCTTTGACTTGATGGAGAAAGTGCAACTACTCTAAGTGGTAGCGTTTTCCAAGCACACCTTTGCAAACACTCAGCACCACAACACAATGGTGATCTCTAACAAGCTAGTGATAAAATACACCCTAAGAGTTAATGTCCAATCACAAAATTGAACATTATCCGTTGAATCTGAAAAATCATCGTCCAAAAGTAGTGATTCTTGATTGGTCTTATTGTACTACAAGAGTATGAAGATGTCTAGCACAATAGGCTCCTCTCTGTCAAGGGCCAGATATTTTTCTATATCAGGCTTGAAAGACCAGGCTGCAGCTATTCCACCTCCAACATACACCTTACGGATTTCCCCTGGTTTTTCAGTAAATAGACCCAAGATAGCCAGTATATCTCAGTCTAATTGTTGTTGTTGTTTGCATTTAACGCCAAGTATGCTCACGGGTATGACCCGGCCTCCTTGCCCAAGAAAAGGCGTTTAATGTATCCGCATAGCCTATTACTATCGGGTAACCTAATCTTCTGAAGACTACTTTTTCCGCATTAACGCACTATCTTGATGCAGAGCAGAGCCCTAGCCCAATCTCTTCGTGCCAGTTCCTGTCTCAGTCTACTTATTTATGGTAGTTAATGTCGTGCCCGCGCACAGCACGTGAGCTTTGAACATACCGACTAGCCCAGTCTAAACGAAAGTACCCGTCGTTTTGGCGCCGACGCAGACCCAACAAAGCAGATGATAGCCAGGATCTCATCATCCCGCGCTCGAAGATTACGGCAAACATGGATATGGTCCTCCCGAAAAATCCCATGTCTTATAGATGGTATTAAATGAAGAAATTTGTTGCATCAATTCATGACTTTGTTCAAATCAGACTCGTCATTGTGCCCTTTCGATTACATTTGTGACTCGTACCTAGCTTTTAACTGCATACATTCCCTCCGCTGAAGCAAGAGCCTTAGATACGCTGGCATTAGAATTATGTGCCCTGTAGAGCTGAGTGTAGTAATACCCGAGGTAGTAGTAGAAAATGTTGTTGGGAAACTTCTCTTCTGCGCATGGGCAGGTGAGGATGGCATTTTCGTGCTGAAAGTGTCTGTGATAGCCTGCGAAATGGCCATGTCTAGACCATGCAGCTAGTAGGTATCCTAGTATGTGTCGCGCTAAACGTGCGAGCATCGCAAAACAATAAGCTTTGCGATATGTAGAGAATTTTCTTTGTAATGAAATTGGTACACTATAGTAGATCTGCCGCACTAAAGTTGAGCACCGTCTGTGATTGATAATGATAAAAGTTATTGAAATGACCAGGTTCCCGAACCATTTTAAGCATTATTTCCAGAACGAGCAATGCGTGCCATGACGAGAATGTTCAGCATGGAGACGGATTATGATGATGCAGAGAAAAGAAAGGCAGTAAGCAGCGAGATGATCTTGCTGCTTTGCAGCCAGGATCTTCTGTGAGGGCAGCAGCTCGTTGGCGAAATGATCAGGCGCCATGTTTGGACAACCCCGCAATCTGGAATTACAAGGAGTTTCGTAGGCAGTGAGGGTTTCAAGAACTTGAGCTTGTAGTGACTGAGGCTCAGGATACAGCGCTGTGGCTTGTCGTGGCTGTAAAGCTAAACACAATATGATCATTTTATAAAAACAGACCAACACTTCGGCTCGCAGAAACAGATGTTCTAGGAACAGTTAGTCAGCGTAATTGAAATCATTGGTAAAATCTGATGTGATTCAGCTATCCAATCGGATCGATGGTATTAGTGGACATTACGGTTGTTGTCCTGACCAGGCGAGTCTCACTAGAACTCAAGCATTTAACGGGGGCGGGTGGTAATATTTGCTCATGACGATAATAAACCAGATGGAACAACAAGGTATACCCGTGCATCGCAAAAGGCAGGCAGTGAGCATCTTAAAACTTATCGGTACAACGGAACCTCTGCAAACCGATCACCCAACCACAAACTATCTTACGCCATTACTTCAAGCTGCTGTCCTATCAGACCAATTGGTGCTCTCCTTATTCAAGACTGAACTGTTGGTCGGGATTAATGATATCTTGAAAGTAAGCAGAAGCTGGCAATGCCCATGAGTAGTCACCGTCCAACCTAAATTGTTATAGACGTACGATCATACGGTTGTCCGGATCTCGGCTTCAAATAAGCTTTTCCGTGCTAAAATTCTATCGTAAATGGATCTTCGATGGTACGCTCCATCGTGTCCGATTCTACATTGATTTAGACAACTGCAATTATATGGGCTGCATACTTGTACGTGTAGTTCTACAGAAAACAAAAGTATTTGCTCGTAGAATTAGTCATCTAGCACGCGTTACGCTCAAAAAGTCCTTGATCGGCACATGTTAAGCCAAATCAAAATTCGTGAAGCGCATGCCAGCTGAATTCACACAGGTAACTAGACTATTTTCGATCCATTTCGCAGGTCATCATCCCTTTATTTCGCCGTGGTTCGGTGCGGATTTTGGAAGCGACTCATTTATCGTACAAAATTTGTCTGCGGGAAGCCTCGCCCCCAGTCGGCTCAAGTATTGCCAGACCAGTCGATTCTGCCGCCAAATTTTTAATTCAAATAATCTACGCACATATCAAGAACTGGGCTCAAGGTGCAACTTCAAATCCTCAAAGTTTCTCATGGCAGATCCAAATACTTCCTCCCTCCACACTAACAACTGTAACGTGGAAATCTCTAAACGACTTGCTGCGTACAAGGCGGTTGATGATCATTTCGACGAGTCCTATAGCTACATCGGTATTGGTTCTGGTAGTACAGTTGTTTATGTCGTGGAGGCAATTGCAGCCAAGGGTCGCGATGTGACGAATCGGATGGTTTTTGTCCCTACGTATAGCCATTCAGATCCAATGAAGCTTACGAGTAGGGCTGACTCCTAAAATTTAGAGGCCATCAATCCAAACAATTGATTATCGAGGCAGGGTTACCTCTAGGCAGCATCGATGCCTTACCGCCTGTCGAAGCCGAGCAAGCCAACATTACCAGCGTTATAGCACTTGAAGTTGCGACCGGTGTCCAGGATCTCGGTCTCAAGGGGAAGCGTCAAAGTTTAGACGTTGCATTTGACGGGGCCGATGAGATCGACGAAGATCTCAACTGTATCAAGGGTGGTGGTGCCTGTTTGTTCCAAGAGAAGTTGGTCGTGACGGCGGCAAAAAAGTTTGTTTGTGTGGCAGGTAATAGTCGAACGTTACCACTCTTCTGATCCATGGCATAACATTTACATATTAGACTATCGTAAACTTCAGTCACGACTACTCACTACCTGGCCGACTATTCCCATCGAGATCGCGCCACTATCAGCGCCAACTATTAAACGAATTCTTATTACCCTTGGGTCTTCCGATCCAAAAATTCGCCAAGGCGGTAGTGCTAAGGCAGGACCGGTCGTCACCGACAATGGCATGTGGATAATGGACGCTCCTTTCCCTTCTCTTGTTTTGGCAAAGGATCTAAAGAACGAGGAATTAGGCGATGGAATGAATGGCGTATGGGAGGTACAACAACTTGGACGAAGATTAAAACGAATTGTTGGTGTCCTGGAGGTTGGACTCTTTTACGGAAGAAATGGATTGCAGGTAGCCCTATCGGGCGAAGAAGGGGGTGGCCAGAAGCCTGTAGCTGCTTATTTTGGAATGGAGAATGGGGAAGTTGTAATCAGATTATCGAAGGAATTGGGTGGTGTTAGCTCTGAATTAGAAGCCTAATTTTCTACATTTCAATATTTTCGCACAAGTATAAGTACCTGAGCAGTGGTACTTGCAAATGAAATCCGAGGCATGAGTGCTCTTCTTGTAAATTGAGTCATCTATCATACACTTCTCTGATATTGTGTCATAGCTAGATAGCTGCATACGCAATTAAAATCTGATGCAAAAAAAAAAAAAAAAAAAAAAAGTACCTGAGCAGATTCCGAGTAGGCCGAAAGCAAACCCAACAAATGGTTAGAGTGAATGAGAATTTGAAGACCTTAAATTTCCATATCTCAGTCACCCCCCTGACCCTTGAGCTCGCCGAAATTACACAAAGTAAAGTCGCTTGATCAATTCTAGATGATGTAGCTAAGTTTTGCGATTTCAAGCCCCTCTATACCTCTGTTATCCTCAATCACAGATGATGAATCTGGATGAGCACGTTTTAAGCCTCTACACTCGATTCTCTAGCGGTTTGTTTTCTCCGTAATATCAAGACTGTAATGGAAGAATCTAAAATGATGAGCCACACGCGATACACAACGGCTTGGTATACATTAAAAATACAATACCCTATCATCAAGATTAAAACAGCCCAGATAAACCAGGGAGGGAGACGAACAATCAACACTAATGGGAAAATTACGCGACAAGAATCGAATTTTCTCTGTGATAATTCTTCTTCCCATCGCTGCACTAGAACCATAAATTGCCGGTCAAATTACTGGCTTGTGTGACACATCATCCATGGCGAAACAAACTGAAAATTTATAAAGCTTCTGGGTAAAAACCTTTGGATATATTTCATTGATGTAAAAACTCGCAAATATTCGCATGATATTATTTTTAAAAAAATGGTATGGTTTCATTCTGTAGCTTTAACATGCCAGGCACGGGTCTTGCATCCTAAGTCCACGGTAGGGGTAGTTGATCCCGGAAGATTCGATACAACCAAGATGTCCAACTCTCAACTATAGGAAAATAATACAAACTGATTTCTAGGCCGTGTGTCCTGCGCCATGACTACATAGTCCGGTTTCATCCATTAGAAGTTCAATTCTTACTACTACCCTTGATCTGCGCCAACGGTTACTACTAAGACCAAAGTCAAATATACACGCCACCGTCTACCAAAACTAGGCTGGCGACTCCCATTTTTGATGTGTCGGTAGCAATTTCAAAAACCTTGGTCTTGGCGCCTACAAACACCCAAAACACAAAGATCCTTCGAAAAATATCATTCTCAGCATACCTATTAACAGCCTCTTTCCTCGCTAGCTCCACGCTTTAGCTACCTGCCTTCGCTCCAGTTCCAAAGCAAAATTAGAGTAGCGATACGACATGAACCAAGACCTGGGCTTTGTATATCATCACTTGGATTCCTCTTGGGTACATGTAACATCGTTTATTTAAATAATTTAATGTGTATTCAGCCATAGAGCTAGGAGACATGACCGGTGCTATGTATACATGTAGGATGACTCTTTTGACGTTAGAGACACTCATACTCTGGATTTCTTTCGCAAATACAATCACGAGGTATGCTTGCTTACACAAACAGTCGACCCTCCTCCGTTAGTACCCACCAAAGGGAATTTTGAAACCTTTGGTTATCCAAGCATGCCTTCGTCATCCATGTACATCAGCACCGCGAGAAATGTGATTGTGTTTTGCCGGATTCGAACCAGCGATCTACTGTCTCAAGTGGGATATGTGTCCAAGCTATCCAGACTCTACTTGGCAGACCGGCCAAGGCAATGTACCTCTGCACCATCCAACTATGGCGTTGTTTAAAGTGTTGCCTGCACGCTAATCGACCTTTGATAGTGGCAAATGTCGTCTTATCTCACAAATTGGAATAACGAGCCGATACCTGCATCACATTTACGACGAAGATCTATCTCTCAAAGAAAACACGCCGTATCTCGGGATCTTTTATCGTGTGCTTGGATAAATTCTTGCTCTTGAGAAACAAACAGCAGTCTTAACTCTATCTCTAGTGGAAATAGCGGCGACGGCCGTGAACAGGATCTCTGTGTGTGGAATTTTCAGTGGAGACTTGGCCTCGTTTCCATCTAAATCCTGCGGATAAATGAAGCGAATGGACGAAGGCTTTTGTAATACGAGTGATTTAGGGGAAGGATCTCGAGAAATGCAGCCCCGCAACAATGATTTCCTTCAAGGTTGAAATGTGAGGTGATTGAATGCGCCCAAATCTTTAGCTGATTTGCCGATGGGGGACACTAATTTTCCTCCATAATCGGTACCAAAAATGGTGGCGAGAACAATTCAGATCTAATCACCATCCATCTTCACGAGCCATTGGAGAGAAATAATTCACCTTCATCCCGCGCATCATCGATATCTATAGTTGACAAAAGCCCAGGTCATTTAGAATGTAGTCGCTACTATACTTGGTCCTGCTTGGCTCTGCTTAGAAACATGCAACTGCTCAATTTGAAGTGTGGGATATTCCAAGAGGCGTGTCTTGTTTTGGCAAAAAGTGGACTATGGAACTTTTAAGAGAAATCCAATTACGATATTACGGACTAGAGTCCGGTCCAGACTGAATAAGAGGATCGACCAATTTCGCAATGGTTATCTCCAAGTCAATAATGTAGTGCACGAGTGCAGGCGACACTATAAACACCGCCATGGTTGGATGGTGCGGTGGTACATCGTCTTGGCCGGTCTGCCAAGTAGAGTCTGGATAGCTTTGACACATATTCCACTTGAGACAGTAGATCGCTGGTTCAAATCCAGCAAAACACAACCACATTTCTCGCGGCGCTGGTATGCATAGATGACGAAGGCATGCTTGGATAACCAAAGGTTTTGAAACGTCCCTTTGGTGGGTACTAACGGAGGAGGGTCGACTGTTTGTGTAAGCAAGCATACCTCATAGTGGTATTTGCAAATGAAATCCAGAGTATGAGTGTCTCTAACGTCAAAAGAGTCATCCAACGTGTATACATAGCACCGGTCATGTGTCATAGCTAGATAGCTGAATACACATTAAATGATATAAAAAAAAAAAATACTAGCGTACGCGGAAGACATAAAGCACACGATACGATACGGTAAATTAGTTTTTCCCAAGGAAAAATTATTCATTTCCATTGCGTTAACGACTTCAAGTACTTCTGAATTCCTTCAACCCTTTACAGCTACAAAGGATCATTGAGATGAGAGTGGGTGTGTTTATTGTACTACTTGAGTCTATGACTATCTAGCACATTGGGCTCCTCTCTGACCCAGGCCACACCTTGTACAGTGCTCCTATCCTCTTTTGTTACTTGTAAGATCATTGGTATATTCCCCTTGATGAATAGCAATTCAGCTCAGTATTTACCCGTGGAATTCAACAATCTTTTCCACGAAACCTTCGTCTCAAAAAAAAGTGGTAGCAATGGAAACTGCGTGCGCGGGAAAAAGTCTCAAAAAACCTGCAGGCCCAGCCAGGCGAGGCCTAGACACCGGGACCACATGAGGTGCGCATATTCAACTATATCTCCCTTCTTTGTAACAGTCGAGGTCGACTTGATTCAATCCGCCATCTCTGCAACTGTTGCAGGCTGCGCCTTAGATCCATGTACTTTTTTTAATTCATGTTGTCTTCAGGCATCTAACTATGACAATGATCCATGTACTTGTGCCTATCTATGTACTAATCGCCGATGTTCGTTTATGGGAGTATAAATGATCGCCAATTTGACAAATACGAATCGTTGATAGATCACTCCAAGAATGCGGATGATCACCGATCCGATCGATATTATCCCCCCGGGCTCAGAGCTACATGTATATATGTCCTACAGACTAAATAGATACCATTTCCTAAGTAATCAGAAAATAGACTGTAAAACGGCCAGCTTACTCTATTCTTATTGTTTTGGTGATAACCCACCACAGTATCGGGCGCTGGGTACGCTTGTCACGGACTGACTGAGGTGGAGATATTATCCTGCCAACCTCTGGCTCTAAGACTATATGGCTACTGCTATGTCATGGATAGATTCATGGTATTGAGGTAGAGTCTGATCCTAGCTTCGGCTGGTATCCCTCTAGACAAGTTCTAGTTACTTCGATGGAATTCTAAGCTACTCTTGCAATTAGTTTCTGGATGTTTCGGGATGGTATTTTGTACTCTTACCAGTTCAATGGGCTTCGATCAGATTCTAGGTTGATCTCAGGAGTTCGACAGGAATCGGGCTGGAACTAGATTACTCTAGTCTGTAGCAGATAGTGTCGTAGTGTAAGTAGCTGAGGTATCTTCATGTCGAAAGCTCTTAAGCTTTCAGTCTTGTACTATTCCCTGGATACCCAAGAATCAAGAATCAAGAACCAAGTCTTTATTGTTATTATATTTTCTTTACCATCAAGAGCCCAAGATTTAGCGCCTCCAGTTCAAGTTAAGTAACCAAGTCCCAAGAGATCCTGACAACGCTCCGGAAACTCATCGGATGGCTTTTCCACCACGATCAAGTGTGGGTGATGAGCATGGCTCCGACCCTACCATCTGATTTGATCGTGGTTAGCTTCATGATAGTGGGGATAGGGGGATGTGTTGAAAGATGCAGACGATACAGACCGCGAAAGCGATTGGAAATCCTCGTCAAAGTGAGTACTTTGTTAATTTATCTCGCCTCTGCAGACTCTACAGTAAGGGCTAGAGATTCGTAGAAGACACCACTGACAGGTGTTGAGGATAGTCCCCCTTCCTGGCTTATATATCTGCATGCATGTAGATCTACATCTACAGGCATCACAACTTATGATCCATGGAGATTGAAAAGTAATGGTCAAAAACCGCACTTGATATAATATGCGCACACGCAATCTCACTTTTATCATCAGTAGCAGAAATTATCATGCTTCCAAAGCCAGGACGGGACCTAGCAACAGCTAAAGGATGGCGACCGATCTCCCTTCTCTGCTGCTTGGGCAAAGGGCTAGAACAAATAGTAGCCAAAAGAATGGCGTGGCTAGCAATCGAACATCGTGTTATCCCTCAA